TAAATCCAGACTTCTCTGCCTGTAGTGTTGCGTGGTGCTAGAACACCTGACTCACTAAGGATGCATCAATAGTGCCTTATGGTGTCAGAAAAAAACCGTTACCAATGAAGAAGTAATTGAATTAAAATGTAATATTGACGAGCCTCAGACTCGTCTACTAGCCTCCGTTTCATCTCTTTCCCCTAATGGATGTCTTTCTGCTACGTTCCTTTTCATGCGTTCCCTCTCCACTTGGTACATTTGGGCTGCCCTTTATTCAACTCCTCCATTAGATCCAAATGTGTGATGTTAATCTTCTAAGTGAGAATGCAAGGGTTTTCTTCCAAACCAAAGTCCACGACCATGAAAGGGTGCGTTATTCTGGGGAGCGGACAACATTGTGCACATCTAAGCATAAGCGTGTGTATTCGTGTGTGTATTCAAGTGTGTATTCGTGCGTGCATGTGTGTGTTCTATGACTTTAAAAAAAGTGCTCATTGAGACACCATGACATTTCAAGGTCTTAAAGACTTTGAACTTCATGAAGTGACAAAGTTCTGGTCATTTGGTTTTGGAGTCAACCCTAAACAAAAGTAGAGAAGCGTAAAATGATCAATAAAAGAAATGGTCTTTTTCAGAGCAGCTTTTCTCGGTGATTATTTGAACAAGGTGTCCTTTACCTTTGACTGGGGGGGCCGGTAGCTTCCGCCGCTGTTGGCGTGACGTGTCAAGTGTTTGAGGCTGCACAGAGACAGAGGATCAGTACGCTGATCAACAGCCATATGAGGTCTGTGTGTGAGCGTGAGCTGTGAATTACCTTGGGATTTGGCTTCGAGAAACGATTGCAAGTCGTCACGTTTAGTCCGGCGGTTTTAAGAGATAATATCCTTGCCTCAATGTTGGATATCTGGTGAAGACCGAGAGGAATGACAGCACGGACTTAGAACATACTGCTGCACAATCAACAGAGAGCTTAACAGGTCATTTCAATCCCATTCATTCCTTAGGGGTAAGATATAAGACATTCCCTCCAGTCTCTCCATATAAGCATGCATTATAATGGCGCTTTTCCACTGCACAGAACCAGCTCGCCTCAGCTTGACTCGACTCGGCTTTTTTGGTTTTCCACTGGGTAAAAGTTGTACCTGTACCTGCTTCCAGGTACTTTTTTTCGTACCACCTCAGGCGAGGTTCTGAGCGAGCTGAGGCGATACTAAAATGTGACGTGAAAACACGGCAGACTGCTGATTGGTCAGAGAATCGTCACTATTCACTGCATCATCATTGCACGCTCCAGATGTAGTATCCTGAGTAATCCCACCATTTTTAAAAAGTTTGGCCAGAGATTGCGTGAGAGCTGTACATAGTATCCATTACGAAAACTATGGCAAACCGAAAGAATACGCCGTGAGAAACAGCCACATCCCGCGGATCAAACACAGCATACACTCGATTTCCTCCATTGTCTTATGTGTGTGGGTAGCGAGTGTTGGTAGGAGGACGCGGACCTGAATGAAACACGCTTCTCTTGCCCGGTAGATTATACAAGTAGAAAACTCTAAAATGGCGCATGTAGTACGTCTGGACTCCATTCATACTACCCGGATTCATACTATATAGAACATACTTTTTTAACGGTCGCAAAGTACGTTCTTATTTAAATGTTGTACATACTCAAAATAGTACGCGATTTCGGACGCAGCCAGTGTGTCGCCGCGTCGCGTAGAAGATTACGTCACACTATTTTCCTGCCGCGTCGCTATGACAACCGGGTACTATTGCGCAGGTACTATCTGCAATGGAGAACCGAGCGAAAGCGAGCGGAGCCGAGTCGGGCCAAGTCAAGTCGAGCTGGTTCTTTGTAGTGGAAAAGCGCCATAATAGACAGACATTGGTTGGGTTCCTGGCAGTGCAGATCAACGATATTTCTTCGCTGTTATCTTCTCTCACATTCTTTCAATCGGTCTCCCCACCACTGGTCCCACAGTGTCTAACTAGACTAGACTCACTAAATCTAACCTCCTCAAAACCGGTCACTAAAAACACTCAGCCTTTCGATTGGTGCATATTCTGCAACTGTCAACAGCATTGAACGGAGAAACGCTCACCTGGAGCTCGGACTGCTGCACCTGGGCTGCTGCTGTGGCCACCTGGTCTTCTAGGAAGGCCAACTCTCTGTCTGAAGTGCTACCGCTGATGCCCCGGGCCACATCCTCCAGGTCCCCTAGCGCCCCCTCTAGGTCATAGACCGCCCCCGCAGCCAGGTAGACCTGAGCAGACAAGTCATGTTGTTTCAGGAGATGGCAACAAAAGTGATGCTGAGAATCAGAATGTAGGTGTCCCACAGGGCTCTGATCCAGGTCCTCTTATGTTCAAGGTTCAGTCAAATAATACAGGCTTGTCACAATGGCCATGCAAGGATGAACCCCTGTCCCGTGAAATTACATTAAAAGTATGCATATCATTTATATAGTGTTTAGGGGGTCTTACGTTTTCCTCCATCTTGGTGAGTTTCTGGTCAAGCTTCCTAGTCTCCAAGCTGCTGGAGAAAGACTCTGAGGCACTCATGCACTCTGAAGGGGTAGCGCTCTGACCACCCGCCTCACCAATCAGCTCCTCTGTGGCATTGAGCACCTTCAGGACTTCTGTGGTGATGCTGCACAGAGACGCGGCCGAGTACTTCTGCACAACACAGCCCCCCAACAAACACAGACACAAAACAACATATACAGTACAAACAGATTAACATCACTCTGATGAGTCACAAAGATGAGAATCACTAGAGACTGCAAACATCGAACCTGCCAGAGTGTAGTCTAACAAGGACACAAGTAATATGTTTATAGTACAGTATAGCGATGACACAGTCTGTAAACGAGACACTGTGCTTCTTCACGACAGTGCCAGGGTCAGCGCAAACACACACATAGTCACGCTCGACCTGCAAGGAGTGATCAGGTGGAGGGAAAGAGTGTGAGGAGGCGGACGTGGAAAAAAACAGGAACCTTGACCTTTTGTGACAGTACATTCAGCTGTTTAATAGGTTGTTTCCATACAGGCCTGTGATAAAGTAAGAGAGCAGTCTATGTTGTGTCAAAAAATCATCTGGGGATAATAGCCTGTTATAGGGACCTGTTTTTTGTTATATATCCGGATTTTGAAAACAAAATATACAATGAATAAAACGGGCTAATCAGTAACTGACAATGGCAACTAGGCAGCTTGGTTGGCCTTGAGATAAATATGTACTGAATGAACATACCACAGGTCAGACAGTCCAGACAATGTGGCAGACAGCAAGAAGTTCTAAGAGATGGGTTTACAATGGTTAATTTAGCAACTGCAATTTTTTCAAAATCAATTTAGGGATGAATATTTGCTGTGTTACAAATATTCACGCTCATGTTTAGACTTCATCAACTCAGAGTATAATGTTTATCCTGGTTCAAATAGGTGTTATTACGTAAACAATAATATATAAACTAGCAGCATTTAAAGGCACAAAATAGTTTTTTTTCTTCAGTTTTTGCTCTAATAACCCTCCATGTATCACCTGTTTTCACTTGGCTCTGATTTGTTTTAATGCATATTTTTTTGCCTATTTCAATTCTAGCGCTTCATCCTTATGAGAGTGTGACTACTTCAGTGACTACGGTTACTACCATTACTACAGTATATTTCACAAGGTGCTCAGAGAACTCTTGACATGACTCATACAGCATTGAATTATTCAATAATAACATATTTTGCTTGTCAGTAGAGTTCAGTAGAGTTCAGAGTAAGTGAGCAAGGCTGAGCAGAGCAAAACCCTGCTGGCCCATTGTGCAGTTCTTGTAAAACCAGATGTCCTTTTGCCTTATCAACAAAAAGAAAATGCATCACTGTATGTATCACGGCTCTGTGGATTTGTTTCAAAGCATCACTTAACAAATATCTACCACGTCAATTAGGCTCTCCGAAAAGCATTAAACAAAAGGGTGATGAGAGATAAAACAGGCAGAATTTTGGAAACCTGCTTTCAAGCCATATTGCCAGTGCTCTGCTTCTTGTTCCATTCCATCTCCCCTCAACTCAACACTCAAAACATCCCAACACTGTTCAGTCAGCTGGTCAGCATAGATGGCCTCTTGTATACTGCTGTTAAGTCAATGGTACAGTCTATGGCTGTAGCTTATGGCTGTTGTCTATGGCTGTTGTCTATGGCTGCAGTCTATGGCTGCAGTCTATGGCTGCAGTCTATGGCTGCAGTCTATGGCTGTAGTCTATGGCTGTAGTCTATGGCTGTAGCTTATGGCTGTTGTCTATGGCTGTTGTCTATGGCTGCTGTCTATGGCTGCAGTCTATGGCTGCTGTCTATGGCTGCAGTCTATGGCTGCAGTCTATGGCTGCAGTCTATGGCTGTAGTCTATGGCTGTAGTCTATGGCTGTAGTCTATGGCTGTAGTCTATGGCTGTAGTCTATGGCTGTAGTCTATGGCTGTAGTCTATGGCTGTAGTCTATGGCTGTAGCTTATGGCTGTAGCTTATGGCTGTAGCTTATGGCTGCAGTCTATGGCTGCAGTCTATGGTACAGTCTATGGTACAGTCTATGGTACAGTCTATGGTACAGTATATGGCTGCAGTCTATGGCTGCAGTCTATGGCTGAGTCTATGGCTGCAGTCTATGGCTGCAGTCTATGGCTGCAGTCTATGGCTGCAGTCTATGGTACAGTGACCACCCAGTCCCACCTTTGAGTACGCTCATAGTTTTTGGAGAGGAACTCCATCTTTGGACATCACATGTTGGACTTCAGGATACATTTTAATATATATTAAATTAAAAAAACATGTTTAGTTGGGGGTGGCAAAAATAAATAAAGGTTACCAACACCAGTCTTAAACACCCAAAACATCCAGTAAACTTTAGAGAAAGTGTACTCTGGAGCAATGGATTTGAATGACATTGCAGACTTTCTAGATCTTTTTAAATAGGCTGATAAATAGTCCAATTGTGAACAAATTCTCATTTGCAACGGCGACCTGGAGAGAATCTGGGGATTGAACTCAGAATATCATGCATACAAAGCATGCACTCTACCACTGATCTACACACTCCTCTTGATAACCTGAATAACATTACTATCTGCCCTTGAGCAAGGAACCCACATTCAACTGCTTCTGTAAGTCGCTCTGGCAGATCATCTACTAAACGAGAAACATGTTTTTCATAACAA